AAGAAATACCTCTATGTGTAGTCTTTGCGACGGAACCCAAAACCACGAAAAATACGAAAAAAAACCAGAAAAATACGAAAAACAAAACCTGGACCCCCCCTGACACCACAGCTATGCAGGTATCATTCAGGCAATCACAGAGGGCGGCTACCGTCCCAATCCGAACGCAGATAAATTCAGCGCCGCTGCCCAAGCTCCACCAAGGCCTCCGAGCCGCGTACCCTGGTTTTACAGCGCACTAGATTGCTGTGCGCCGCTAGAAGCATCATGAGCACAAGCCCGGAACCGAAGCCCGGCCCGGCTTCCAGCGATTAGGAAATTCACAAAGGCAGGGTCAGCTTCGAGATGCAAGAAGCCGTAGCCGTTGTTCGCTGGCTAAGGTGGAGCTCACGATTTCTGAAATCGACAAAATCAAGTCGTCATCGGCTTTCGGACTGCGGTGACGCGGTTCTATGGTTGCCTTTGCCGTCGGCGCATTGGGTGAAGCCAGCGTTCGCAAAAAAGGGTGAAGGAAGCAGTGTATCCTCGTGCGTGAGACATGGTGCAGGTGACGGGCCTGACGCGACTGGGACTTGAAAACGCAAGATCTAGGTTCCTTTCCCAAGTTCCAGACGTCGCTCGGCCTGTCAGACTTGGTACAGATCGTCCCGAGCTGCAGCATGAGGAAAGATAGAGAAAGCCATATAGGCACAATTCATCTACTTACATAGGCTTCGGGCGTTTGCTGTTGGTGGCGTGCTGCACTTTTTAGGTACACCGCCCAAGGCGTGTGCTCGATGCACAAGTGTTTACTGAATGGTGTGACTCACACAGCTGGGAGCACCCAATTCGCCTTACACAGGCGGTGCAAGCCTAGTTCGCTAGATTTGCAAGGAGTCGAATCTACCTAGCTGCCGGGTCATGGCACCGAACTCTCAAGTGACAGTGGCCTGGAGGGGTCGCAAAAGCATCACGTAGCCTGCGGAATCCTTGCCAGCTGCATTCAGCATGTCACACAGATCAGCGGATAAGATGTTCAGCATGCAACATGCCAACATCGCAATGTTGCTCTCTGGCGCGTTCGGTTCATGCTGTAGTAGTGCATGGTTTGAAAGGAGGCGGGTTGACAGTCCCCGGCATGGCAGACGTTGCAGACAGTTTCTCGGTCCTGTCCGAAGATGCATTCGCTTTCACACTTAGCTTTGCCTCCATACTGGAAGCAATTTGATGTAGGTGTGCCGTTTTGCGCGCTGTCTGTATCTGGTTCGTGGCGTGTCACAGCTTCCTTCCTGCATGTTGCAATAATGTGACGGATGCCCTAAGGTGATTTGCCGCAGTTTATGGAGGGCAGGTACGACATTTTCGAAAAGAATACCTTCCTGGATTTTCCCGCTCCAAAGCCATTGATGCTGGAAAAGGCTCAAACAGATCCTCCGCCTGGGCTGGAGGGACTCTGCGGGATTTCCAGCAAGTTCGTATCAGAAACAGACCGATCCGAAGATTCCACCGCCGTGGACGAGATGGAGGCGGCTCCACCGCCTCTGCCCTTGGAGGTCTTTGTAACTCCCGACTGCTTCGAGGATCCGGAGTTTTCTAGGCCGCTTTCTGCGGCAGCACCGACTTTCATCCCTATCCCTGGGGCCGGGGCGGCCGGGGCCCTTGGGGCGCTTCCGATGCATGGCCTCGCGAACCTACCGGGGATCCCCGATGCCTTTGTTGGCCCCTCGATCCCGGAGCTCTGCCGGCCAAAGACGCAGATCCTCTTGGATGCTTGGCAAAGCATCCTGTTGGAGCTTTGTGGCTGGCATGCGAGTGTACACGTGGGGTTGGGACCAATAGAGTCAGAGACTTCCTGGTATCACTAAGCTTGAAGCTGAACTGGCTGCAACATGTGCTTCATGAGCCAATGAGGAAGAGATGCTAGCGCCCTCTGTGGTGCCTGTCACAGAACTCGCTACTTCAAGGTTGCCCGTGGAGCTGTGGTAAGCTTTCTCTATTGTTTGTCGGACAGGGGGGCGCCTCACCGATGTCGTGTTGTTAGGCTTCGAAGTCTAGGTCAGGCTCTTTCTATATACCGCCAAGACTTCCGCAATTAAGGGCAGCATGTTATGCCTGGAGTCGTTTCAATGTGGGGCAGGTTCCCCCCGCCGCCACCAGCCATGCCGGCGCCGGTCTTGGCAGAGCCTCCTTCCCCGGAGGCCGAAGTTTCAGAACGCGCAGTGGGTCAATTGTGGGTCGCTTGATGCATTGTTGTGCATTTTGGCGCCGCTGATTAGGTTCCTGCGGAAGCTCCGGTCGAGGGGCCCCTGCCGCCGCGCTGCGATCTTCAAGTTGGGCAGCTCGTCTGTGAGGCTCCGCAAGTTTTCAGCTGGGACCGGACGTGGCCCGCATTGGCCTGGGCAGGAACCTGCTCGGGGCATCTGGGATGCGGCAGCCTGAGACGTGTAGCCTTCGCTGTGGCTGTGAAGCACATGTTCATCATGCAGAACTCTCAGATGCTCCAGGTTCACTGGAGCGCGGACAGCCGGCAGTGACTCGGGCAGCAGCGGCAAAGCTGCCACTTCTTTTTCCGGCCCCTCTTCACGCTTTGCATGACAAGCCGGCCCTTGGACCCAAGGCTCTACACCACGACAGCTGTTGCCTGAGAAAGTCGATGAAGCCATATGAGGAAATTCATTCAATCAGACAGCAAAACCGGTGTGTGACATCCCAACCCACCCACAACACACTCATGGACCCAGGTGCGTCTTGTCTCGGGCATCTTCATGCCGGGATCCCAGGCGAACTGAATGGCCCATAAGCGTCCCCTTACTCGCAGGAACTTGAAAGATTTAAGCCTCAAGCATTTCCTCCAGTCAATGTCAACGCCACCTCCGCGGACTCAGGCTGCAGGTCAAAGGCAGCAGCCTACCCTTCAAGGCTCGGTTCTCTCTTGTCTTTAGGTTTGAGCTGGTTCGGCAACGTTGCGGCTCGTGATGGTTTTAGTTGGAGGGTTCAAGAGAACGTTGCGGGACCTTTTTGCCACTGCTGAGATCCTTGGCCGTAGCGCCAACTACCCATTCCTGGCCCATGGGCAGGTGTTCCTGCATCCGAAGGCCGAGAAGCGAAGCTCCACTTATCCGGTTCAGCAGACGAGTCCTGAAGCAACCGCAGGAATGAAGTCTAGCCAGCTAGGCTCCGCCGATTTCACTACGAGAGCTAAAATTGAGATCTCGCGAGGTGGTGATAAACAACAAGCGAGGCGGTGGCTTCAAGAAAGCCAAAGGGAAAGGCAGCATCGTTCTCAAGTGCGAGGCTATGCGGATCCCGCGGGGTTTCAGCTCCAAGTTTCCGTTTGCCTGTGGTAGTAGTGTGAGCTGTAGTTAATGGGCCTAGATTGCCAACAGACAAGACTTCAAGAGAAGCCGGCAGGTGGGACATTGACATGTTTTTCGGAAGGGAAGGTGCCAGGACAAGCCCCCTCGGAAGGTCTAGGACAAGAAGGGGAGCTGGAGTGAGACGATTACATCGTGTCCAGTTGCGCGAGGCAGAGGATGTGAAGAGGTATCCCAAGCTTGACATCTCCTTCCGAGTTGGAAGGCTGGTGGCGAGGGACATCGAATATCATAGTGTCCTATATAACCTGAGAACTGATTCCTACCTCGCCCCATCTATATCCATCTATTATGCGCCTGTAAGTGCAAGCTACAAACGTCTGCCCAAAGGCCGTCATTCTAGAAATGTATCTGTGCAGAGTCAGTGAAGGCGGAGGAGGTATCCCTGTAGCCATGGGCTCTGCAAAGAGTCCGAACCGTGGCAGACTCATAGCTAACGCGATGGCTGCTCATCGCAGTTGAGAATTTTGTAGAATGTCGCCGTCGCGAGACGGCCTTGCTGGAATGCGGTGCAAACTGATGCGGTGACTGCCTCCGCCAGCTGTGCAATTTCATCCGGCTGTCAGGGGTTCTCGTCTCCAGCCACCTCGGTCGGTGGAAGCGCATGACTTTGGGGAGTGCGGCTCCTGGTGGGTATTCGAGGGGGCTTAGGCCTGACCGCTTGCCCGACCGCACAGAAACAGCTACGCAGGCTAGAGATTCTAACAAGGCCAACTTCCCACGATAAGCAAGGCCCCCTAGTCTTGGGTTCTACGAATCGCTCCCAGTTTTGCTCATGCCTGCCTAGACGAAACTGGTGGACATGTCACGAGGCAGAGCTGTTGCTGCCTTCCAGAAGCGCAACAGGAGTGGGACTTCAGGCGGCGCCGGCTGAGTGGTTTTTGGGAGTGGGATTTCATGTTTGGGCAGCTCAGTCGCACTGATTGGTCGGGTTTGGTGCAGACAAAGAGCCTTATGCTCTGCGGAGCTTCTGCTTCCTCGCGGTTCGGTGGACATTGACACTTGTTTCCCACTGTGAATATGAATGTGCTTGGTTGGCGGTTAGTTCTACAAACATGTGAGCCCTGCGAAGGCCAAGCAAAGGCCTATGGATGTGTTTGAACTCCTACGCTTCCGCTCAGCACAGATGCCACAGATTCGAGAACTTTCCGCTTCCTAGCCCGCAGTCAAACACCGAGGTTGCGGGGAGGCAAACCATGTTCTGCTGACGAGTGTTATGGAGGTTTTTCAGATTGGTCTTCTTCAGCCTGATGATCGTGTTTGCATTCTTTCCCTGAATTTACGACTGGTAGCAAAGTGTCGTCCAGAACAAGTGCCTCCCTCTGTTTGCGAGGAGCTTGGTGGATGAGTCAGGATCTTTGCTGGTCTCACTGCGCATAGCCGCCGACCCAGCAAAAGTGGGGAAGATTCGGCCCGTCTCGCCCTCGCGGTGCTGTCTGGACTTGCGGTGTTTGTGGGCCTTCTTGTGACCTAGATGTACACAGAGGTTGTAGGAGCCCGTTCCACGTGTTCCAGCCCGCTACCCTGACCCTTTCTGAAGAGGTGAAGCACGGTGAAGCAGAATTTGCCATGAGTTCTGAATGCAAGCCAACCAAGCTGCTGGAATTTCGTGGTGTGTTGCAATCTGCACTCTTCCCCTCTCATCGCAGGATCACGGAACAGGGGTAAGAGGTTTCGAACGGGAGTTGCGCATGGCATTCCTTCCATTTTACCGTGCCGAGGTGGCAGCAGAGAGTTCGTAACCATGTCATCAAAGATGACGGGTCTGAGATGCACATTAGCACTTATGCAGATGCAGATATATAATCGGTCCCATGTGAAGCATCCTACAACCGGGCCCTGACACTTGCAGCAATGGATACAGGCAGAGTTTTGGGCCGATTGCAGTCATGTCCGTTTCAGTTTCACTAGCTGGGAAGGGCTTAGGAGCCCTTGCCTTTCCTGCGTGGCCTTGCGAGCTTCGGTCTGCGCAAGCACCGCGCCGTAGACTTCGAACTTCTAGAACTGGCTGCAAAGGATGCCAGCGCAGTTTCTGCAGCATGCAAGCTGTCTTCCTCAGGTTTTGCGCTCGAAAACCATCCCGAGATAGTGACCGACAGACTGGGCAGGAAACGGCTTGCTTGCAGCTCCATCTGGTCTCAGTTAGTCCAATGTGGTGTGCAGATGCCAGTTGGGTCCGTGGGTTTGTCGATAGTCGATCTCTCCTCCAACTTGAATGGCCCGGCATGGCCTGATAGCAAATGATCCTAAACCCTGAAAACTGCAACCCGGTGACCACAAAGCCAAAGGAGAAGGACACCCAACCGAGGTCATGCTGGCTACCCTACCGTCCCGTTTTCTGAGTTAAAAAGCTGCTTCCTCTTGGACTGAAGAAGCGACATGGTCTCGTTCTTTTCCTCTGAGACAGGACACGTAGCCAGCTTGGCCGGGTGGGCGGCCCTTCAAGACACTGCCTGCACGTGTACAGGTGTGCGGTTGTGGTGATGGCAGTCAAAAGGACCTAAAGACAGGAGCCTCGCAGCTTTGAGTCTGCAAAGCGATTATAGAAGCCATGCTTTCAGATATCTGCGGCGTCTTGTTGTCTGTGTACACATCAGACGAGGAATGTCGCGAATGGGCATGCCATGGCATGACTGTCTAGAGTTCACCATTGGTGAGTAAACAGTTGGACCAGTAGATCTGGCCGTATGACGATGAAAATGGCATACAAGCTGTAGATCATATCCGGTTCCGTTGTCACCCATGGGAGATGCCGCAGAGGCCAGCGTGAGATTCGAGCTGTCAGAGTCAGGGATAGGACTGTGATTATCGCCTCTAGCAATTGCATCCACTGTAAAAAGGGGCAGATTCCAAGAAGCCAGCTATCATGCCCAGGATCTTGAGTCTCTGCTGCAGGCGGGCAGATGCACACTGCGCAAGTTGAACGCGGTTGAATATTGCTGCTTGAGTATGCCATTCGCGACGGGAAGGGATGAGATGATGAGGCGCCGGAGTAGAAGTGTTTTCGTCACCGATACGGTCATCATGAGTATTCCTTGTAGGTCCTACACGCCTACTTAAGCCACTCATTTCTGTTGTCGCTGCTACTTGTCCTACCCGCCTCAATTGCTAGATTGAGCGGTCGGCGTCACCGGCGCCGTCGTCGTTGTCATGTGGGGATGTTCAGGTTCCCGTGTCCTGTAGCTGCTATTCAGCACGGATGGAGCTTGGTGAGGGTGGCTCCCAAGTGAAAGAGAGCACAGTAGCCCCCAGGTCACCACCCTCACGCACCGTGGAGCTTCCTCGAAGATAATTGGCAGCGGTGGGGTATCCTTGCTTCGGGACTCGGCCAGGAGGTGGTGGAGCGAAATCGCCACGACGGAACCCCAGTTTTCCACTGTAGTTTCACTGCAGTTCCATTTGCAGGGTGGCTGAGTCGCACGCATTCGCAGGACCTTGAGCGAAGTAAGTGCAGACCCATTTTCCGTTGCAAGCTGCTCTTGCCAGGTCTCGGGAATGGCACTGGTCCGCCAGGCTCTGAGCTGGGGCGAGAGAAGCATAAAGCGATTCTGTGCATTCTGCGCCATGTTGACGTGTCAGTTTTTCATGCGCAGCCTCGCTGGCTCTACACAGCAGGGACGCACTCAGCGCCTGCCAAGTGAGCCTTCGGAACGTCGGTTAGCAATGAAGCAAGCCGGGCGCTTGGAACATGCCTTTGAAGCACTCTTGATGTCTTAGAGTTTCATGGCATGTTCAATTTGGAGTGTTGCGGCTTCCACCGGAGCCTCTGCGGCCGCGGTACGAAGCTTCTGCTGTCCAAGGTCCTTGTTGCGAGCTCGGTGGCGCTTGCATCGCGTCTAGGTCTTTCCTTGAAGGCCCATTGCGATGCTCCAATCGGCAAAACGATTTAAGCGGTTCCAGGTTGAAGTTTCTTCCATCTGCCGAATCGCAGCTTGAAGCCTGCACCGAAGGTGCCTGCTAGCCTGGTGGAAGTGGAGCTGGATGCGGCGGACTGTTGCAGAGCTGTTCATTAAGTGTTAGTGTGACTGTTTGTGCTTTGGTCCGTCACCGGGCATAGTTGCGACTTTGACTGCATCTCCGATGGACCAGCATCTGGTCCGTAATGGAGGTTGGAGTGAAGTGATTCGGGGGATGACTTGGATGTGGAATTCCAGTATGTCATGCTACAGCATTGCAAAACAAGCAAGGACGGGTTTCGCGAGCCAAGCAGCGGTAGCCAGTTCTGCGAAGCAGCAACTCGCCTCCAGGTTTCTCATATTCGTGTAGCGAGGGCTACGTTCTCAAATCCAACTTCCACGAGATCACGGGCAGCTCTGACAGCGAGTGCTGCCAGCCCACGTGTGCATTGTGGTCGTGCACGGGGCATTTTGCACAACCCTGAGTTGACTTTTTCGAGCAGCTCGAAGGGTTCGTCTGAAGTGGAAGCACCCCACCAAGCAGTCTGTAAGGTCGCCAATGATGCCTACAAGGGCAACACCGGCAGCAGCAACGAGCAGTGCTGCGATCAGACCTGCGCAGCTGTGACGTGCCCCAAAGACCAGAAGGCGGGATGTAATGTGTATGTGAGTGTAAAGTTGTTGAGGCAAGCAGCAGTTGGGCTTACAAAGCCTTGCAAGCACCTTCGGACGCAATGTTCAGGTGCCATTGGAGCTGAGGGACTCCGCCGGGAGGACACCGAAGGACTGCAAGGAATATTTTAATTTTGGGGTGAGTCTGAGGAAGGCAAAGGGACATGGTAAAGGCTCTAGACCAGGGCAGCCTCGCATCCATCGTGAAGTTTCACTGCGAATTCGCTTCCCAGCCGGCACGGCTTGAGACAATAATGAAATGTTTCAGCAGCCAGGTATGATCAGGCATGTCTACCAGTTTCCAGTTGGATTACCAGCATGGAGGGAGCGTGGGAAGGTCAGGCTTACTTCAGCCATGCCAAGGCATGTGTCGAGAACCTTCGAGTCGCAGCACTCACGCAGACGCGAGGATTGCAAGGTTCCATGCGGGACGGTGCGTAAGGGTTCCAAGGCAAGGCTTCAACAAGGCTCCAACTGACAATAAGCTTCTTCCTGCTCAAGTAACGTGTGGTGGTGGCTGTATTGGACCTTTTGTCGTGCAGTTGTGCTTCCGCACGTATCGAGCAGGACTGCTGCAAGGACACCTGCGCTGCTGTTGTGTGCGAGCCCTTCCACGTGCCCATCAGGACATCGGATATACTTACCGTTTCTACGTTTCTTGCCCACGCCCATAAATTTATCCACGTCGCTGCTTTTGTAGACCCCTCCAGGGCGAACCTGCATTCTGTCTATCCCGATGGTGAAGACCAGAGCTTCTGCTGTGAGCCAACCTGTGGTGCCTACACCTGCGACTACCGCAAGGGCTTGGTGCTGGATCGAGTTTGGCCCTCACGCATCATGGACGCCATTCGGGCTTGTAACCTCGGAACTACTGAGGCGAAGCAAATGGTCCCGAATCCCAGCGATGGGACTTGCTGCACAGCGACGTGCTCCAAGACTGCTTGCCCTGCAGGCTTCGAGATTCTCGGAAAGCAAATAGCTTGCTGCAGCTCACATGTAAGCTTAAGTTAATCATCAACCAGCTTTGTGGAGGCGGACGATTTGGTAGGATCCCGATGATAACCTACTACTCTGGAAAGCTTTCTTTGGTCAGCGTCTGCATCAACTGTCAATCCGGAGTTGTGTGAAACTTCCGAGGACACGCCCGGAGAACGCCAACAAGGATGCACGGGAAGTGGCTGCTTGGCCAAATAGCACTGCGAGCAAGACAGATGAAGCCGCAGCAACATGCAGCAGCTTTTGCCAAAGCCGCCGGGGACCCCACCAACATGATGCTGCTGAAGCAGGGCCTGGTGTTCAGTGTTCATAGTGTCATACTGCTGTTGATGGTGGTAAAGGTTGCCATAGCAGTGAGATTCCGTGGACCACCACTGTTATGCAGATGTTGATGTCGCTTTTGATTTTGTTCGTGTGGCACTTGCATTCCGCTATACTGGAGCCGGAAGCGCGAGGAATGCTGCGAGCCCCTTTGCAGCTCGCACTCCTGCAGCAGCGGCTGGGTCCCTGATGAGAGCAGGGCAGCTGCCTCGGATTCTGTCCCCGAGGGGTGAATGGAGTCCGGAACACTGTCCAGGCTGTGATCAAGGTCGTATGGGATTTCGATGCGATGCTCCGACATTTGTTGGCAATCCCTGGTCCAGGGCAATGGCAGAGCATAGGGGAGCAGAACAGTACTCGCCGTTCTCTGCTTACACGATCTTAAGAGTATGCCATGGCCTTACAGCTTCAAAGTATCAAGATGGGACGCATACGGTTGTGCATCAGGGACATGGAAACGACTATCGTACACATCTGAAAAGAGACCTTTCCTAGATTCTCCATACTTCTAAATCAGGTTGATTTCGCATTTGCCGCTCCCTGCAACGTCGGATTTTTCAGCTCGCGACCTGAGGGTTGTGGTGGGGGAAGGCGGAAATCGGAAGTATGGAAGGAATCGCACCCTTGGCGACAAATAATGTTGACCCAGGATCTCCTTGATATTTAGACTCAAACTTGGACATGCGATCCTCGCTTTTAGTTATTTTTTTCATATTTCTTGCCATCTTGCTATCAAAAAACAATCATTTCTGGAGATCCTCGTTCAGCAAGGCGGTAGAAAACTATGCCAGAATCAGAATTCATTTGCAGGAGTTGCGCATGTTGCCCCGAGCCACCCTTGCATTGCCAGTGTTCGGAGGCGCAGCGGGTGGGCAATACAGATCAGGCCTGTTTAGCTATTTGCGTCCATTCCTGTGGTCTGGCTGACCTGTCCAACCGAATGTGCGTGCACATGGAGCAGGAGTGCTGCCGAAGGACCTGCAAGGAATACACTTGCTCTGCTGGCTGGGCGACAAATCCAGCAGCTGCAAACGAAATTGGCACCTGGCTTGCATGCTTGCAAGCTTTCGCTTTGCTTTTGTCGTACGCCGCATGCTGCAAGTACTACTGGTGATGATATAAATCCTGCGTTACCTTTCGGACCCTAAGCTATGAGAATTATGGTATATTCCTTATTATGGGTAATGCAGGATGCATATCATCAACCTTAGTAGCACGCCTTGTAGTGAATCTGCCCTGAGATCGAGGTGTTGACGACGAAACTTGCTGCTCCAAGACCTGTGCGCAGTTTCAGGAGCAGTGTACTGGAGACTATGCGCCAAACGGCGCGAAGAATAACACGGTCGGCCATACCGCTGAGACGTGCTGCTCCAAGACCTGTGCTTTGTACTCCTGTGGCGCGGGCGTCGTCATTCCCAAGAGCCAGAGCTCCTAGCCTGAACCTGTCCGTCGTCGCATGCCCGCTTGGCCAGTTGCTTGTTGACTTCTTGCAAGCCCTAGGTGTTGTTGGAAGCTCCGACGAGCTCTGCTGCGAAAACAGCCGTTGCCCGGCAATGCGCAAGATGACGAAGCTCGACAACGGCAAGCACTGCAGCTCGTTGAGCGAGGATTCCAACATGCCGTGCATGGTGAGTTGTGATTCGGAGGGAGACGAGATAGCCCTAAACCCCTGCTCGCCAAAGCAAGAAGGGGGGATCACCTGTCGGCTCGGGTTCTTGAGCGAGACAGGGTACTCCATGTCATTGCTTGACGATGACTGTGTGTTCAGGACGTTTGCTCCAAGCACTTTGTCGAATTGCAGCTTCCCTGCAGTATGCTTGGTTGAACCTCTCTTCGGGCAGTCTTCACCACCGGAGGTTGTGCTCCCGTTGCTCCAAGGAAGAACAGCATCACCAACAAGATGGATGCGCTTGCTTGTAAAATGATGACTGACATCGGCCTCTGCGGCTTGGGTAGTGTTCCTGAAGTCCTTCCCACTGACTGCGCGAAGTAGGAGCAGAAGCAGAGAAAACCTTTAGATGTACAGCCCGTCTCAGAGTTTCAGAGGGTTACCACAAGACCAGTACAGCCATGGAAAAAGTGACAGAGGCTATGGCTGGTGCTGGATTTGTCAGTCAACTTGGAAGCAATGTTACCAGCTTTTCCCAAGGCCAGGAGGGTGGGGAGTCCGAGGAGGACGCCGATGGAGCCAGGGTGACGATCCCGATCTCGGAGAGATCTGGGTCGAAGGCTTCCGAGCCATGGGTAAACGGACTAGTCGTAAGACATCAGAGGTCGGTAGTGGGGTCCTGACGATTCTTTTTTTCCGAGTCAGTCTTGATCCGAGTATGATTCAATCTGTTGATTGACTTTCGGGTTGGTGTTGCGCCAGAGGTTGCTGGCTTGAGAAGTAGGCCAGGCTGCGGGGGGGACCCAAGGTTAGACGAGTCAGCAGCCAGCGTATTTGGTGTGGTGCAGCGCAGGGCCGAAGCTTCAATCCGGGGGTGGATCCTGAAGTGAGTCCCAGAGTGCACGAAGATTGAACGGCGAAATCGGAATGAATCCCACATCGAGCAGCCAAGTGAATTGAAAATGAGAGCAACCGGAACAGAAGGTCCTTGCTTCGGACCGGTGCCCGAAGATCTGATATCTTGAAGCCAGTCGTCTCTATCACCACCTGGTTACTACCTCGACGGTTCTTGGAACCTTCATCGCTTCGCAGGACCTGGCCCCAATCGCCGTAGGAGTTGCGCCGCCAGGCCCAGCTGTGGTCGCAGCGTTGCCCGGAACTTGGAGGGCGAAGGAATTTCATTCGAGGTTGATAGGGTTTTGAGTTTTGGGTGTTTAGCTTCGATATTAGGAGAAACTCGGAGGATGGTGGAAAGTTCGTAGGTTGAGTTGGGTGTCTTGCGGCCAGAAACCGCGGGTTTTGACATGTGATGCCATGCAGAGTGCTCGGGTTCTGCCCACCCCTCTTCCGGATGGAGGTTGTCATTCGCAAATTGGGGTACACTATGTCCCATTGTCAACGGAGACTCGTGATTCTGCTCTGTGCCAAGTTGTAGAATTCCTCACCTGCTGTTCCGAAGTATGGCTCAAGAGACGGGAGTTTGCCATGTAAAGCTGGGTCTGACAGCACATCGTCCACCACGTGGTGGTCAACTTCAAGCCCGCATACCCGCATGCCCTGAGAAACTGCAAGAGATGAGAGCAACAACAGATTGCAGCATGGCATGTGCACAAGAATAAGTGCTGTTGGCCAAGCTCGGCCAGCCAGCTCGATTCCTCAAGCAGCTGCAGCTCTTGGATAAGGAATAACACGCTTCGCGAGAAAGCTGTAACGTTTCTGCTGCTGCCGCCGGCATGGCTGAAGTTCAGCGAATACTGGAGCAGCTGCAGGGGTTGCTGCGAGACGAGCTGCATGCGCCTGGGCAATCGAAAGTTCTTTGCCGCCGGGCTAAGGGAAGACGGTGGAAGGACATTATATGGTATAATATAATATTATAATATATATTATAATATAAAATTAAAAATATAATAGAATATAATACAATATAATATAATATAATCTGCCTGAGAAGGACAGGTTCTTCTCCGAACCGAAGCCTTGAGCCCTGGGGCTCCACCTCTGACCGGAAGCCTAAGTGGAGGGATGTGGAGGGTTGTGTCTTCTTCTGGGGTGGCTTATTTTCCCCTGAGCATTCGATAGAGTCTCGGCGTCACACAGACTTGTCGTTAAACCTTGCTGCCATGTGCGGTTGCGAGTGTCGAACATGGCAAGAACTTCCGGCTGAGGCGGTCTCCTCCATGGCGGATAGCCTCGCCAGGAGCTGTGCCCATGCAGAGCGGCTGCTGGAGTCTTCAAGGCCTGCGAACTTCAGGGCCTACGGCTGCGAATGTTGTTGGCCGACTGAGCCCATCGATGACATTGATGACGTGGGCGATGTTCTCCAGGGCCGAGGACACATGTTGGCCTTTTGATGGTGAGGATGATGTTGGTGACAGTGAAGGTGTTCTGAAGAAAGGTTCGGTTCAGATGATGTTTGAGTTCCTTGCCGTGAGGCTGAAAGCTCGGCTCTTTCTGCATGACTTCCTAGGCTCCTCTCCTGTAGTTTGAGAGCAATCGAACGGACTTTCCCAATTCGTGAAGGGAAGTCCTTACCCTGGCCAGCAGCTGCTAGATTCAACCCAGGAGTCTGCCTCCATAGCCGGACTCTGCTTCGCTTGGCAGGAAGACGATCGAGTCCCCAGGAGGGCAACCGCAGGACCTGCGGATTTTCGGAGCTCAGTGTCTACCAAGCGTGATCATAGCTTGGCCAGGGCTGTACCGATCGCGCCACGGCGATCGCTTCAACCAGCGCCCGCACCAGCGCCAGAACCACCACCGGCAACACCACCATCACCGATCGTCCCAAGTTCCAGCCGGATCGCGGATTAGGGAGGCAGTCGAGAATGCAGAGGAGGTTTTGTAGGAACTACACGAACAGTCAGCATAAAAGTAGTTTCGACGTCATAATAATTATAGTACATAATAATTATAGTAATAAGTAATAGTCGTAATCGTAGTAATAGTAGTAGTAACAGTAAGAATAGTAAGAATAGTAAGAATAGTAAGAACAGTAAGAACAGTAAGAATAGTAATAATAGTAATAATAGTAATAATAGTAATAATAGTAATAATAATAATAGTAACAATAATAATAGTGAAAGAGTGATAAGCGTGATAATAGTAATAATAGTACTGGTAGTAAAAGTACTTTCGTATAGACTCTGGGGGTCTCTGGAGCCCCAGTGGCTTTCTTGTCCTCCCGCATTCCACGTTGGAGAATGGGAATTCTGGGGGGACCAGGTTAAGAAGCCCCTTGTAACCCCAAAACAAAATATGAGGATTCATATACAGAGCCCTTATGAAGACCTCGGGTTTCTAATCAGGCTCCTATATCAGGAGCCTGTCCTTTTCCGGTTTGGTCAGGTACTTATCCCATGTTTGGGCGTGCTTGTGGCTTGTTGGCCCTGTTGCTCTACTGACTCCTTTGCTGCTTGTGCGCTGATTGTCCATATCAGCTGACTCGTTATCAACAGGTACTGCGGTTTCGTAGCCAGATTTTAGTAAGACGTTTTCAAAGTGGCAGGGGCATCTGTGTATTACCATATTAACAGAATAAGATGTCTGAAAGAAACCGTAATGGGCCTCGCACATAATCTTGGGGCATACCAGTTATTGTCTTTCCACTGTTTAGAACAGATCGAGGGTTTACCATTTAATACTATATATGCCTCAATGTTCTGGAAAAAACGGTGGATAGAGCACAGTTGATCTGCAGCATTTCCAACAATTGATTCTACTTGCTAGTGGTGCTTCTCCCATCACAAACTTGTACATGTTCCCTTTGTGCTTGATGTTTATGTTTCTTGCCGTCTGCTTCGATACGTTTTTTCCATCCTTCATGAGGCGGATCTTCTTGTTTTCATTCATTCCTAGATTGCACTTTCAGGGGGGTTACCGCAGTTTTCCCTATACAACCGCAGGCCAAGATATGTCCCGGATGATTCGATAGGTACTCCTTGCATCATCACTACTATCGGCAAGATCATTGTCGATAGTGCTGCCACCTCCGTCCTTGTGGCAATTTCTGTCGGTGACCTTCATTTTTGGTAGTCTAACGAATTTTCCCTGGCCGGATTTTTCGGATTTTTCTGAAGTTCAGGACGTGCTGGACTTCGATGTGGAGAGCTGGCTTCATTGGCGCCAGCTTCGGGCTGGGCCTAAGGGACGTCAACGGCTGAGTTTTCGGGGCTACGGAGGGAATGTCAGAGACCCTGAAGGCGAAGTTCATGCAGGTGAAGCAGCAGGAGGCATCGCTTCAACAGGTGCGGGAGGTGATGTTTTGACACACGGCGTGTGCCTTTTGATGCTTCAGCTCGTCCACTGTCCACAGCTGCGTCCGTAAGTAAACCGCGGCACTCGACGATCGAAGCCATAGAAGACCCGCTTGACGGGGACGGAGGCTACAGACACTGCGCGGACGGCTTGGATGGAGCAGCTTCATGCAGGATCAAGGCCAGGCGACGCAGCGGATCCAGATTTCCAAACTTTCTGGCTTCGGGCTTGATTTCAGTTAGCTGCGTGGATGAACAGAACGTGTCTTGTGTTGAGATCAGAATCACCAATCCCCAGGCCAAGTTGCACAAAACTCGAACAACGCGAAGAAGGGCCATCGGTAGGAAGATTTGCGTACGGGGCCAGACTTGGTTGCAGGCTTCGAGACAAGGTCCCAAGGCATCCAACGACAACGAGTTGGACCCAAGCTATTTCAGGGTACTATATTACTATAGGCTTCTATAAAAGGGCCCCCTTTAAGGGTTTAGGGTCTACTCTAAGGCGGCCCGATGGTTCCCGCCGCACGTTTCTTCGTTTCCAGAGCGCCGTGGAGCTGGCGAATCTCGCCAAATTTGCGGCCAAGGAGGCCCAGGGTCTTGAAATAGCGGCGGTTTTGAGTTTATCTTCTTATATCTCAGTGTGAAATTCTCTCTGTCCCCGCCAGGTTCTCCCTTCGCCTGCGGACTTCTTCAGGTCAAGGCAGCTGTGGCCGCCCAGCGCGGGCCGCCACGATGATAGTCCCGAGCGTCCAGTGATGGAAGAGCTGTCCGAGACGTTCCTTTACATTGCCTTGGAGAAGTGGCTCGGCCGCCTCCTCGAAGAGTCCCGCAAAGTCGTCCCCGCTGCCGCTGCCGCTGCCAGGGCTACAGAAGACATGTCCAGGCATTGCAAGGCGCCAACCCGGGAGGCTCTGGCGAGCCAGAGACAGACAGAAGAGGAAGTCCATCCCTCTGCTCTCTTGCAGCACCTCCCTGGTGGCCCACCTGCTGTGAAATCGGTGCTCCTGGCAAAGCATCGAGCTCGTTCGATGAAGCTGCAGGCGGATCTGATGAAGCTGTGCTGTGGCCGTAGCACGCCTGCCAGAGCCAGCCTTCTCGATGAGGTGCCCCCCCTTTTCCTCTCTCTGGGTGACAAACTCGCTGTCTTCTTTTTGTTGTATACTGGGGCTGTTATCTGTTCCATGCAGAAACAAAGGTTCTAGATGTCCGAGCCAGGTCAAAGTCATGCTACAAGATCTGCAGCGGGGACAAGCAGATCCGAAAGCCGTGGCATGTCCGAAATTGGGCGCGTGGTCGGTGGCAAGGGGACAGGTAAACACGAAAGATCCACAGGCTTGTTCGATGCTTTGAGCACGCCGGCCTCATGTCTACTCCGTTGCTACTGCCCTGCATCCGTGCAAGCTGGCGGTTTTTGCGGGCTGTTGGATTCACCGAGGCCCGGGAAGCACTCGCACGGGCGCTGAAGCTGCTGCGTCTGGCAGAGGCCTTGTGCTGCGAGCGCCGAAAGCTGCGAAGCTTCTGGCCGCTGCCAGATGACTCGTCGAGTCATGCGCCCGTGGATGCAAACGATGCCAAAGAAAACCGAAATCCGAAACCTGCCATCTGATGAGCTGCGCACTGCGTGATTGCAGAAATCGCGCACCAAACGTGTTATCTGAAACGACTGAATTTTGGCTGAAGCTTGTCAAACTCCATCATCAGATCTCCCTCCAAAGCCGATGTCGTCTGTGGCATGCACCAATGAGAAAAGACATGGCGACGGGCTGGGTTGGGAGCCAGCATGCCTGCTAGAACAGAGCCTTGCAGCGATGGCTTTCAGCCGCCGACTGCTCAGTGGCTACGCTGGGCGGGGGGCAGCCTCAGACTCAGGGCATGCTGCAGACCTTGCGGATGCCCCGCGATTGCAGTCGGCAAGAGTAGGGTCCGTGTCGTGCAGCATCATGATGCATGCTTCAGTGGGCAAAACTGGCGGGGCTGTGAGCTGCTTGTGCGTCCATGCAAGGACGGTGGCGGAAGCAGCTTCCCAGCAGAGCAGAGATCGCGGTGGCTGCCAGCAAGCTGCCGTGAGCAGGTGAGACCTGGCACAAGGTGAGAAGCACCATCCTCTCCCGAGGCGACCTCTCACAGAAGTTTGTCGTTTGCTTCTTTTCACCGGACAAAGGCCAGGCTTGGGGATCAGTTCTTGGCTCGGTCAGGAAAGAACATCTGGCCTCAGCCAGAGACTTGGTGCCCGGATTGGATCTGCCTCCGGAGGCGCTCTTCTGCTGGACAGTGGCTGACATGGAGATGTTTTTTGCGACCCGGATGTTTTTGTAGCAAGTTCGGAAGTTATTTTTGTGGCTTTTCCGGAGTGATGAGATGTTGCGGAATGCCTGCTGTCGGAAGTTCCTGGCGCCACGTGAGGCCAGCAGTGGCTATGTGAAGCCCAAGTTGAGGCTTCTCTACTACATCTCCCCGGAATGTCCGCAAACCATTGTTGATCTTGTTTCTCCAAGCCTCAGGAGGCAGAACTGGGCATGCACAGTGCGGCCAGAGCCAGGAAACACACCCATCTTCGTTTGGGAGGGATCTCGACCCAGCATCGATCCTTCGCCAACGTTGTCCCGCGGAGGGCTCGTTAACCGCGTGGCTCCAGTGCTTCCGATCACCAGGAAAGTGGGCATGTTGAGAGCCTTGCAGCTCGCCTTTCTTATACACGATGGCGCTTCACATACGGTTTTTTGTTACGTGGTGTCGTGCGGTTGTTCGGGTTGTCCCGATGGCAGGCAGAAGTGGTGCTCAGGCAGACGGCAGGAGTTCCCTCCACCCTGGTATCCTGTCACCTTCGAGCTGCCGACCAGCCTGGAGGAGTGGAAGCAGCGGCCGGGCGGCAATTGGGAACATGTTGAAGCATGTTGAAACAGAAACGTAATGCCCAAAATTGTACCATGCATAAATTTAAAACATAAAATACTCGACCCTAATCTAGTATAAAATAATGCAAGACACTTTAATAGAATGTAACGTGGTGCAACATAATACAATGCAAATATACTATAGCCTAATGTAACATATTATATAAAGCATATAATGTAGAATACTGTAATACACCGTGTATATATATATACACATACACATGTGTATATGGTCCATATATATATATATAGACATATGATTCGTAATGTACAATATGTAACACACACATATATATAGGTAAAATATGTAATTCAGGCACATGTGTATTGTAATGTACAGCGCCGAGAGTGTATATATATATATATATATTATATGTATATATTATAATATGTGTATATATATATACATACAACAGCTAATACCTGCTTGTTAATAAATATACAACATCTAACATATGATATTCAATACATAATATACCCTATCTATGTATCTATCTATCTATCTATCTATCAATCTATCTAATATATAATTATAAAACACACGCACGCATATATATCTATATCTATATCTATATCTATATCTATATCTATATCTATATATATATATATCATGCTATATTAAAAGTTACGTATTCAATGTTAAATGTTCGATAAACAAACAGATATGTGCATGCATGTGTATACATGTATAAATGTTATACAGAATAACATCGTTGAGCCACAGCTTCTACTCGGTTCCCATGTTGTTGCAAGGCACGTCTCGCAGCACCCAGCTAAGCGCTGGATCTACAAACCGAACGGTGCCTTAGCGAGGCTACTGGTAGGGAAGCTGGCAGTCGGATCTTCATTTGAATGGGCTGGAATACTCGTATACATGCATGTGTGGTCTGAATTTGGTTTTATAGGTACTCAGGCCAGAACTTCCCACGTGCCATGCAGGCTTTTCTCTGTTGCTCTACTTTCGTGGCGATCATAAATGTAGTGATCTGTTTTGCATCTATAGACGTACAGGTGTCGGCGGAAATATGGCTGACTGTTTTATACCGTTTTCATACATACAATTTGACAAAAGCACACGCACTAACACCATCAACAACCAGCACCAGCACCACCACCACCACCAGGACGACCACCCCGGCCGCCGCCACCACCACCACCACCACCACCAACAACAACAACAGCAACAACAGCAGCACCAACAACACCACCAACAACAACACTAGCCCTAGCACTAGCGCTAGCACTAGCATTAACGCTAACACCAGCGCCAGCGCTAGCGCTAACGCTGACGCCTTCGCGAGCACTATTGAAGACAGCCGCAGCAGCAAGAAGGACGCCCACAACAACAAAAAGATCAGCAACAACAACAACGACGACGACGGCAACAACAACAACAACGACGGCAACAGCAACAGCAGCAGCAACCACCACCACCACCACCACCACCACCAAAACCACCACCACCACCAAAACCACCACCACCACCAAAACCACCACCACCACCAAAACCACCACCACCAACCACCACCACCACCAAAACCACCACCACCACCAAAACCACCACCACCACCAAAACCACCACCACCAAAACCACCACCACCAAAACCACCACCAAAACCACCACCAAAACCACCACCAAAACCACCACCAAAACCACCACCAAAACCACCACCAAAACCACCACCACCACCAGCAGCAACATCAACAGCAACAGCAACAGCAACCGCTATAGCAAGAGCACCAGCAGCAGCAACAACAGCAGCAGCAACAACCAGAAGAGCAACAATAACAACAATAATAAGTGCAACCACAGACACAACCACGGGAGCAACAACATCATAGATCCCTAACGTGCAGCTTTCTGGTTTGTGAATCTCGGATTGAGGGTTTGGCTTGCAGCTGCTTGCAAACCGAGAAGGACCAACAAACCTGAACCTAAACTCTAAAACCCAAAAATTCAAGCAGCGCTTTGATGTGCTGGCCCCTGCTTGCGCTCACCTTCTGACGGAGCTCCGCGCATTACAGACACCTCAAACCAGCTGCAGGTATCTTGTCAGTCTCAAGCAGAACAAATGCACAGGCAATTGGGGTTGAGGTCGACCACGGGGCTGCAGACGCAGCTAGGTTTAGGGTTTAGGGTTTAGGGTGCTAGATTGCAGCTAGATGCTGTTTCGAAGATTCTGTAAGAAGCATTTCTCGGCTTGCGAGCCGCTTAGGACAGCATGGCTGCCATGCATGGAATTTGCAAAGACAAAGGGCTTTTTTAGAAATGCCCAAGCAAGGGAAGTCTCAGTTTGTAAGCGCAGAAGACACGTCAACGAATCTGAGATCAACGGTTGTAGATGCAGGCTAAGCACTTACATTTCAAACCACAGCAGCCGCAGTGCTAAGGTCTGCACTTATTTGTAGCATGAAGATGCCCCTTGCTTTGTCATAGCTGCGTAACATTTTTGATTTTTTTGTGGGTACTTAAAATGCAATATGGATTCGCAGTTTACATGTCTAATACTATCCCAGCCATGAAGTAGACTGCACCGGCCACTCCTGTCACACATGGGAAGTCTTCTGATGTAGTGCATGGGACGACAGTGAGAACAGGAGTAATTACATGAGCTGTTGTGGTAACAGCCATGATCACAGCAGTGAGGACGCGTCGAGGCTGTGGGCAATGCTTGCATAAAAGCAGCACACACTCAGACACAACGGCGAGAGGATCTGAATGCAATGCAGACCCCCTAAACCCTAAACCCGACTCCGAATCTCTTCGGTGCTCTGCCACAGCTATTATGTGAGCGTTGCGGCATGTCGCACGCAGGCCTGCAGTGCAAAAACGTCCCGCAGGCCGTGAAAGCATCATGCAGAGCTTGTTGCTACACTTCAGGGTACTGTTTTGGGGTGATTGGTTTATGTTTTTGTTTGAATAGCTACCACGATGTGCACTAAGGCGTCGTATTTTAATGATTGTAGCAGAAGCAATGGGAGTTGGAGGAATAGCCGGAAAATTTATTAGCTAAGCCGGTTTCCATGGACAGATGCACCGCCGAGCCACAAACCCCACGCCGATGTGGAAGGGGAGAGGACGCACGTCCTACACGACAACAGACGGTTTTGAAGCTTTGTGCGTTGGGAAGCGGGCCAGGGTCCTCGAAACACGAATGATACCGTTGTCATTTATCTAATTAATTAACAGAAGCTATACATATAATATTAATTAATATATATATATACACAATGTATAATATATAATTTAAAATATATAATATATAATATATAATATATAATATATAATTTATTATATATAGGATATTATATATATATGATATAATATATATATATATGTATGTATATATATATATAAATATAAGTGTGTGTTTGTGTGTGTGCGTGAGTCTGCAACAAACCACGAATTCATGTGCTTGCTAGATAAACAGTTAAATGGAGAGACAAACAGCCAATGATACAGACAGACAGAGAGATAGATAATTATGTAGAAAGGGAGGTAATGCGTTAGACAGATAGACAGGTGCGTGAGTCTGCAACAAACCACGAATTCATGTGCTTGCTAGCTAAACAGTTAAATGGGGAGACAAACAGCCAATGATACAGACAGACAGACAGACAGATAGATATTTACGTAGAGAGGGAGGTAATCGTTAGACAGATAGACAGGTAGATAGTTTGACAGATAGACAGATAGATAAAGACATGGATCGATAGCTCGGTAAATAAATAGGTAGATAGATAGGCAGATAGACATAGACAGATAGATAGACAGATAAGACGGAGAGGTAGGTTGGTGGGTAGGTAGGTAGGTAGGTAGGTAGGTAGGTGGTAGATAGATAGATAGATAGATAGATACATAGACTGATAGATAGATAGATAGACACATAGATAGATAGATAGATAGGTAGGTAGGTAGGTAGGTAGACAGAGAGACAGGTAGAGGGAACTACAGACAGATGGATGGATGGATCAAACAAGAAGCCAGATAGGTACATGGACGGACAGCGACACACATAGATGCATGCATACCAGATACATGCAGGCGTGCCAATCTGCATAAGTATGTGCTATGTAGTCGGCATGGATATATGTGTATATATGTACACACTTTCACAAAGGTGTTTGTGTGCATTAAACAGTGCTTCCGGTTTGGGATCCGTGGTTCTGGCTGTAGGGGTTGGGGGTTCGGCTTTAGAGTTGGGGATGTAGGCTTTAGGGGTTTAGGGTTTAGGGTTTAGGGGTAAGGGTGTACTTAGCACTTTTGCTGGTGATCTTTTTAATGGTTCAGAGACTGAAGGAAGAGAATGAGTTTGAGGTAGCTGGCTTGAAAACCTAAACCCTACACCCTAAACCCTAAACCCAGCACCCAAACCCTACACCCTAAACCCGAAACCCAACACCCTAAACGCTCCACCCTAAACCCTAAACCTTACACCCTAAACCGGACACTTATAAGGCTTGGCTGATCTTGGCCGGCAGTCTCTGCCGCAGCTTTCCTTCTCTCTGCCAGGGCAAGGCAGAGGTTTCGTAGAGCCAAGAAGAGGTTCAGGGTGTAGGATGTCGGTTTGGGTTTTTAGGGTTTAGGATGTCGGGTTTGGGGTTTAGGGCAATTCAGGGTTGAGGATTTAGGCTTCAGGGTTAAGGGCTCGGACCGCAAGACCAGCGGTTTCGTCCCTTTGCCGAGACATGAAGCGAAAGCCCCGTGGCGAGACAGGGATAGTAGCGGCGGGACAGCACAGAGCAGACCGAAGGGAGTTACTGGACATGGAGTAAAAAAGTGTGAGCGTTTGTGACCTTTACGGCGTAGGGTATAATAGAGTTTTTATATGTTTGTTGTTTTTCTGTTTTGAGGTGTAGGTTTCCCCCGAAGTCCTCTTTCTCATGTGACTCTCGTTGCCTCGGGGATGTGTAGCAAACTTGGACTCAACTATCGGAGCTGGGGGCCCTCAGGCGGTTTAGGGTTTAGGGTTTTGGGGTTTAGGGTTTAGGGTTTTGGGGTGTTGGGTTTTGGGGTTTGGGGTTTAGGGTGAACAGGGTTTTTGCATTTATACACAGGTTTGACGGCAAAGTTTCCTCCATGACGCGGTCTGTGGCCAACCAGGACATCGATTTGCTTCGCGTGCTTTCAACAAAAGACGGGTCAGCTTTTCTGGGGTCGGTTTTGTTAGTGAAGCTGGTTTAAGTCACCATCATCGGAATCTACAGTAAATACCTGTTTATGGTACCTGGTGTTTAAGTTCCTCACCAAGAACAAAGGTTTTGCCCGAGCGTCGGCTAAAGGTGACGTTTTTCTTGCCTTGACAACCTGTGAGAAGCCAATGCCTTTGCTCTGCCACGACAAACCCACCCCTACGCCCAGACATCCGATAAACTCTAGAGCGCCGAAAACCCCTAAGATAATTACCAAGATTGTTCCTTAAAGCTCCTTCTTTACACTTATCATCACATATACCCCAGAAGCCTTGTTCTAATCTTAAAGAAGAAGCTGCTTTTGTTGACCGAAGAGCTCCAAAAGCCCTTAGCTGAACAAGCCGTTTAGCTCATCCCAGGTCACGGTGCCTTCGCCGTTGAATGCCCCGGTGGAAAAGCCCACAGCACACGGCGTCGTCGAGGTCTGGGCGGACCGCATTGTCCCATGGCTGAAGAACAGCGAGTCACGGTCAAAACCCCGTTAGTCTAGGCTGTATTTTGGAATGACCCACGGTTTCCAACAGTCTTGGATTATGAGGGCGGCCGCAACTACATGCATATGTTGAACAGAGTCAGAGGAAGCGTTCGTGTGGGCCTGGCCGATTACCG